AAAGCATAGTGAAATCCTGTTTGATGGGACTGGCTTCTCTTTTCGATTTCTTCATTACCTAGTGGCAGGTGGCCCTATAGAATTGGGGAATGGCACCAGTGGGAGACCACACCTCCAAGGATGGGTTACTGTCCTCTAAGATGTGGTATATAGTCTCAGCAGAATGGTTTTGTCCATAGCCAGTGTGAAAAAGACAATGGTTGTCATTTTAAGATAGGATTCCACAGCTGTTTGTACTGTGACCAAAGACTTTTAGATTCATTGACCTGTCATTCGAGGAGCTCGTTGTTAGGAACAGACATCCTCATCACAAAGACTGATGATCATAGACTTTTGCTAGAAAACAGAATCAGTAACCAATTATGGATGGCCAGGAACAGTTTAAACCTCACTCTTTACTTACTGTTTAACCACCTTAACTCAACTAGCTCCTCTTTGGTCTCATAAAGACCCCCCTCTCCAACTTCTTTTTTTAGGCATTCAAGAACTGAAGTACAGGCCAGGTGTGGGGGCAGGGGTGGGGAGGGTGAGAAGATTCACCAAAGTCAGAATGGGGAGCAAAACAGGCAGACTGACCAAAATACACTGCTGAGGGGAGCTGGGAGCAGGGGGAGGAACAGACCTCTGCCCTGCCTTGTGGTTACCTCCCTGGCAAAGGATCTAACATTTGCTGAAGCAGCTGCTGCCAGCTTCACAATGCTGAACTTTAACCCATTGCACCACCTGGGTGGGCCCCCAAAGAAGTATTTTTGCCAAAGTTATCAAGGGTTAGTTCTCTATATGTCCCATGGATAACAAAGGAAGTAATTCCCTTCAGAGAGCATGTCTGAGTCAGAGCTATTAGAAAACGAAAGTTACATGATCTTTCAAATTAAACAATTTCTGGGCCTTCCTGGTGCACCATGTGGGTCACCTCCTCTGGCCGGGGATTGAACTTGTGTTGCAGTAGCTGCAGATTGCTTCACAGCGCTGCACTTTATGCACTTTAAACCATTGCACCACCAGGGAGGGTCCCCTCCTCAACTTTGACCCCTTCCTGCGAGTACTTTTAGGTTTCTGTCTGAAACTGTACATGCTGAATGGCAATTCTTTGATCCCAAATAAGTGTCTGATTGCTGTGTAAGATTGCAAGATCAAGGTGTAGAAGGGGGTCCAATTTACTTATAACAGTTTTCCTCTTAAAACCCTGCTCTTCCTGCTCTGGGTGTGTTCAGGAAAACTTTTTTGGATAATTTATTGACAAGGTCAACCCCACATTTTATTACAATGCCACATGCAAGGATAAAAGAACTCTGGTAGGCCAGTAAAAACATTTATTTCTGGTAGGGACAAAGAAAAGATGATCTGGTTCAAGATCAGGAAAATATGGCAAACTAGTTTTCCTGAACAAGTTTCATCCCGTCAAACCTCATTAGAAAAATAGTTTAGGTACTTTTTCAGGAATGCTAATTTTTGCCCTCAAGGCAATTGTCAGTTAACCTTAGGAAAAGCTTGTGTCCCAAGCTGGGGAAGTTTATTCCCCTTTTCATAGCAAGATTAATAACTCATGAGGTGATCTGGCTCTTGTGCCACGGCTTCCAGATTTCTCTTTGGCCACAAGGTTTTTCTTTGCGGAATCTAAGACCTTGTCTCATTTGGGCCTGAAATAATAATCTATTTCCTCTGCTTAGAACTTTTTCTTCTCTCTCAGCTTAAAAAATTAAACAATTCCAGCAACCCTCCATTCCCACATAGAAAAAGGCCCCTATTATTTTTTAGCATCAGTTCCTTTTTATTTGGACATTTTCGACTTTTAAACACCAGTAAGATAGAAGCTAGGTTCCCACTGCCAACCACAGAGCTTGTTGCTGTATAAGAACCTTACACACTGTTTAACCAATAGCTTCGGATGTGAACTGAAGGAATTTCGCAGGTGCCAATGCAATACCCGCTTTGAGGGAAAATCTTGCTGCACCTACTGTCTTTGCTGTAATTCTACCATCTCGATTCAACTTATTCAAATACCAGACTCAGCGTCCAGTGAACAGGACTAATAATTAGTATACTTGGAAGGGCGAGAAGATGCTGGGTTTAGACCTGGGTCAATAGCCACGTTGAGGATTTATTTAGAGCCTTCCACATAGCATCCTTCAAGTTCTTAAACTCCCGACAAAACACTTGTATTCTCTCGGTCTCCCCCCCCTGTGATGACGTCATCTGCCAGTTCTCTAATGACGTCATCTCCGGGCCAGCTTGGTTCCATCTCCCCACCCCCTTCTCCGGATATCTACAATTCGTAGCACCAGGCTTCCAATAAGGGGTTACGGTTTCTCTTTGGAGCCCGAACTCCTTCTCTCCCATTCTTCCATCGAAAACTTTAGGCTCTTCCCGCCTTCCCTCATATTAGCACTTTCGTTTCTTCCCGCATGCTCAAAGAATTCCTTAAGGTGGCTCCCTCCCTTAATAACTCCAAACCTCGCTCTTCAGTTTACCTCGTCTAAATCCCATTATTCCCCACCTGCCTCATTAGTCGGCTATTTCTACCTCTCAAGATCCACCCAGAGGCCCCACCTCAGGCACTCTCCAGATCTCCATTCCATCACCGCCCCCCAGGTCCGCCCTAGTAGACCCACTTCGGCTATTTCCGGTTTCCAACCTTTCTCTAGCCCCACCCACATTCCCACCTTCGGCACTTTCCGGCATGCCTGTGTTTCCGCCGGGTCTGCCGCTCAGCACCAGTCGGCTTTTTCCGCTCTACCTCGGCCTGCCTCTCTCCCTTCGGGTTTTTCCGCTGCCCTTCGGACGAGTGGCCTGAGCGCCTCTCCTCCACGTGACACGGCCTCCGCCTCTCCTCCCAGTTCCCCCTCCCACCTCGCCCTTCCTCTGCCTCCCGGCTCGCCCGGGCCGAGCCGCCATTTTGTGTGAATTTCTGACTGCGGCGGGGCCGGGCAGCCGGGGCACCTAGGGCGGGCAGACTTGACAGTCGGCCCGTCTCCGCGGCCCGTTTCTTCTCTCCCTAAAGCTTTCCCTCTCCCTTTCCGCTCGCTCTCCTCTTCTCCCTTTTCCCCTTCGCTTGCTCCACCGCGCGCGTCCCGCGCTAATTACACCCAACCACCCATCAGTGTCCGTGTCCCCCGGGTCGCCAACCCCCGGACCCGCGGGGGTGTGTGTGCGGGCTCTCGCCCCGATGAGGGCCCCACGCCCGTGAGCGAGTGACCCCAGGGGCGGGCTGCGGAGAAAGCAGGCGGCGAGCCGCCGGCCTAGGCCGCGCGGCCTACGCGGAGGTCGGCGCAGAGGTGATTCCGAAACCGAAAAAATATATACCCATTCCTATTAGGAGCCCTCAGAGCTGAAGTGTGCCCTTCCCGCCACGCCCAAGCAGTCCTTTTTCGTGCATTAACATCCCCTCCCCCCCAAAGGAACTATGGAGGCCGCGCCCGGGACCCCCCCGCCGCCGCCATCAGAGTCGCCGCCGCCGCCATCGCCGCCGCCACCATCAACGCCTTCGCCTCCTCCGTGTTCCCCCGACGCCTGCCCGGCCACCCCGCACCTCCTCCACCACCGCCTCCCGCTCCCTGACGACAGGTCAGGCCCCCGGCCCGGCCGGGGCAGCGTCCCCGGGGGGAGGAAGAGGAGGAGGAGGAAGGGGGGCGGCCGCCATGTTGGGCCGGGCGGCGGCGGAGGAGGAGGAGGAGGAAGGGCGGGGTCGGTGGGTGTCTCTCGCTCGCTCGCTCTTTCTCGCTTGCTTTCTCTCCCGGCCTCATGCGTTTCCCCCCCCTCGCGGCGCTCGCCCGCTCTCCCTCGCTCTCGCTCTGTCTTTTTTGGGCGCCATGCTGAGGGGAAGGTGAGGAGGCGCCCCCCGGACCCCCCGCGCCCACCCGCCCTGGGGAGGGGGCGCCGGGGGGGGGCTGCGGAGGCTCACGGGGGTCCTGGCTGCCCCTGCGTCCGGAGCCTGGCCGCCACGGGCCCTCCCGCCCGTCGCTGGGCTTCGGGGAATGGGATGGGGGAGGGGTTCCCGGACCCTTCTGGGGGGATAGCGAGCCACAGCCCCGCTCTTAGGGCCTTGGAATCGGGGGTCTCCCAGTCCCCGGCAGTATCCTTTCTCTTGGGGGAGGTGTTCTTTGCCCTGCTTGGAGAGGTCCCCTAGTTTTCTTAGGAGGCAGAAAGTGGGGTTTTGAGCCGTCTTTTTTCCATCCTTTTCATGGGGGGGGGTCCTTTTGGTTGGGGCGCCTTGGCGCTGTTTTTTTTTTTTTTTTTTTTTTGGCGGGAGGTGTTTCCACGCTGTTCCTGAGGGTAAAATTGGTGGTGGTGGTGCTTTCTTGCCCCTTTGATGGAAGCCCCTGCCTCTTTAGCGGTATTAGACCCTTCCCCATGTTTTTCTTTAAAGGAAGGGGGTCTTCTCACTCATCGTAAGTAGGTGATGCGTTTTTTGGGGGGGCCGCGGGTGAGGTTTGGTTTCCCTTTCTTGGAGGGGAGAGGAAGTTGGTCTTCCCCCTCATCTCATGGGGTTCCCTTCTCTTTCGGGCAAAAATGGGGCGCCATCCCTTCGGGGAGAGAGGTGGTTTCCTTGTGTATTGGCAGGGGGTGAAAGGGAGCGCCCCCTTCCCTTAATTTTAAAGTGCGAAGTGGTTCCCCCCCCCCCACACGCCCTTCTCTGGGGAGAGATAAAGAGGCCCGCCTGGCAGCGCGTTTCAGGAAGGGTTTGGGGCCCCTTCTCCCCCGATTCCGCAGAAGGTATGGGTGCAGGACTCGCCCACCCTTTCCTCGGGGGGCAGGGGAAGAGGTGGCTGGAGAGTGGATTTGGAAATGGGAGGAGGAAAGTCAGTCTGGGAGGGAGTGGGGGGTGGGGAGGGGAAGAGAAGGCGCTGGACAGATGGCCGCCCCGTCGCAGCCCTGGCTGGGGAGTCGCCGAGGACCCTCCCCTAGACAGGGATCTGAGCTAGGGCTTCCCTGACAGGCACTACTGCCCCTTCTCCCCACTCCCACCGCCCCTTTTCCCTTTCTCCTTCACAGACCATACTTTGCCTTTTAAAAGAAATGCCACCCACATTCAGAGACACAAGTGCAGCAGTTTGGTGAGCTTTTACAAATTTTTGTTTTGTTCTGTTCTGTTTTTGTTCTAATTAAATGTATCGTCCTGGGGATCGCAGCCCATCGCAGCCTGACTCCAGTTCAAGGAAATAAACAGATTAGCAAAGGTCTGTTCGCTAAGCCCACGTCGGGCTTCCGGGCCCCTCTGGGGGGCAGGTGCATTACTCAAAGGTGCTTACACGCTTTATTCGACCTCTAAGGAGTTCTCTTATGTCAGAAGTGTATGTCTTACAATGGGTTGGGATGGTAAGTAGCCTCTTTTATTGAGTAATTCAATTATCTCCCTCTTTCTGTCCCTTTTCCTGCCTGCCTTCCTCCTCGCCTGTAGACCAAAAGTGATGCTTGAGAGAGTGAATTTATAATGTTCAAATCAGGATTCTAACCCTGTTGAGCCCTTTTAGAGTTGCACATCCTTTCAATGTTTAATTTTTTTAAATTATATGTACACAGTTTTCTCCAAGAAAAAAGTGTTACTGTAACATTACAAAAACCTATGTAAAAAGGCCCGTTTTCAGGTCCTTGGTGTCCCTCTTGCCATTTCGGTACATTGCTTTGTCTCCAACCTTGGTCTTTGAAGAAAGTGGGTACTCCCGAGCCCATTTGTAGGAGACAGGGTTACTGAACTTGGTTTATGATATTTGCATTCAAGTTAATGTTCTCCTCCCTCCCCCGCCCCCCCCAAAGATTGTGGTTCAAGTAGATTCCATTTTCTCATTTTACTCCAATGTCTCTTATGGTGATGGACGGTTAAATTAAGCAAGTCATTTGTAAAGTACTGTTTAAGCACCAAATCTGTAAACTGTGTCAAGCCCCAGTCTCCTCTGCTTGTCTGCACTGTTCCTTTGTTCGAAAGCACATGCCTGACCGTGAAAAGTTGATGCAAACGGTGTTACACGCCCAGTCATGGTGGAGAGAACACTTCCTCCAACCCCCCTCCCCCCCCACCCCTGTCCTACACGTACAAGGAAAAAAACAGCCACAGGAATGACTTGCAGAACCAAACACGACTTCCGATGTGTTTTACAAGCATAAGTACTTCGTTAAAAGACAAAACACGGTGAAGGCCCATTTTTCCCTCTGGCCCATCTTTGGTCCCTACTGTTGGAGAAAACTTTTTAACACACAGCCTTCCTCCCCTCCCAAGACCTTGTTTCTTTTTTCCATTCTTAGGAGGGGGGAAAAGTTCACTCACATTTAGAGGAGGAAACATGTAAACTGCAACTCAGTGGATCACTTGTTTTGTTCTTCCTCTCAATGTGTTCAGGACCAAACCTCCGTGAGGTGGTGGTCTTTAACGTTTGTAAAAGCAGTTACAGAGGCAGAAGTGTCCACACCATACAGTATCCTGCAAAAAACAGTCTGAAGCACAAAATAAACACACTCCAGTGCGCAGGGTCAGCCAAAAATGGATTTCGTTGATTTGACGTTTCCCCTTTGAAATTCCTCCCCCAGGAGCCAAGAGCAGAAACAGGATGCTCTCAGCTGACCCAAGTTTTGAAGGCTAGTCTTGAGCTGTAGAAGGATGCTTAGTTTAATTTTAAAACGAAATGTTCAGTAAATGGTACTTCTTTTCTAAATGAATATTTCAACCACATTCTTTGAATTTAAAAGTATTTCCCCAAACATTAAAAACAAAAATCGGGCATATCAACACAGGGTTTATTGCGTGTGTGTTTTTTTCCCTCCTCAAAGGAATCTCATCCATCAAATCTAGGAAGCCCCAGGAATTAGGTCAAACTATTTGGTGGTCTTTGTTTTTGAAATGTCACAGTACTGCCTTTTTTCCACCCCCAAACTGATGTACCAGTATTAGTTTCAATTCAAATTAATGGATGTTGCAAAAAAAGGAAAAGAAAAGGGTGTCACTCAGAATCCCTGATTTAACAGCCACTCTTAGACATTTATATATATTCTCTTCGACTTTTAATTTTCTCTGGGGAGTAGTTTAATCTGAAAGCAAATAAAAAAATCTCCCAGTAAGAAGAAAATCAGTTGCTACCAGGAAAACATGGAGATCCTGGTCATAAAACCCCTTTAGTTTTTATTTCGTTTATATATTTGCTCTTCAAGAAAATTCGCCCTCTCCCTCCCCAAGGCTTTCTAATTCAGTCTGTCCTGTCTCCCAGATAGGGTTTCGATTTGCTCTGAAGGTTTAATTTTCGATTCTTGACAAGCCAGAATTTAAGTAGCGCTATTTTAGCAAGCCACTCCTGTGGCTTTTCCTTAGCCAGGAAGACTGATCCCAAGGGAAAGTTGCTTTGCACCTGTGGAAATGAAGGCTTTCCCAGCTGTTGGCTACCTGGCAAGTTAGAGAGGAGTGGTTGACTCTGAGCTTGTATGTTACCATCTGGTTGAATTTGTGACAATTTCATACTGAGCAGACTTAGTCATTTATCATTTACAAGTGTGCCACTTGCTCTCCTTGCTCTTAGACCTCTTTTCCCTTCCCAGATGGGAGAGAGAGGGAAATCTCAGGATGGCCTAATTTGTTGTTCACTCTGCCACATCCACGTTTTTGGTGGTTACCGAGTGCCCCTAGAAGCGTCTCTGCTTGTAGGCCAGCTCCAGTTACAGTAAATACCGCTATGGTGAGACTTCATGAAACTGTTTCCACTTCCACGCCTTCTTGGCGAGCTTTCGGTCAAACCAGTATGCCAGAGCCCCTAATTGTGGTCCCCATGGATGCTGTCTTCTGGCACCGGAGCAACTGGTTCTGCAGACTCCAGAGAGGAGCTTGAGTCACTGACAACACGAATTCAGAGCAAATAGTGAGTTAAATGGCTGTTTCTAAACGAGTGGGGCGCTCGCCTGTACCTTGGCAACAGGGCTACTGACAATAGAAGAGAAGGATGGTGTCTGAGATTTCTGGCAGTCGGAATTTAATAAGCTGATCCGCTGGAGCCGTCTGCTCATTGGTGGAGGGACTCCTGTCAGAATAAATGGTTGGAGGCTGGTTTCATAATTAAAGCCTAATGGAAAGAGTGGAGAAGCTGCTGGCTTGTTCGGGTAGCAGAGAAAGTTCATCTGGATAAGTTAGAGTACACTTCATCGAGTTGACTTTCTGTATTGATCTGTCTGGTCTTGCCGTAGCCCTAGTCTTGGCTGTTTAATGAAGAGGCATTCTCGAAGGCATTCTTAAAGACACGGGGAAGTTTTTCGAGTTGATTTAGGAATGAGGTCATGTGAACAGTGTTTTTTTTTTTTTTTTTTTTGAAAAAAATGTGTCGCCGTCAGTGGTGGCAAGAATGAAGATGGCCTCTTGGTTGGTGTCGAGTAGCTGGGAGCTGCTGCTAGAGTAATTTTCTAGCGGAACACAGGATGTTTGCTCAGAACCAACTTTGTTTCTTTTGGCTCTTGCTCTGGGCTGAGAATCTTTTTGTTGTTCTTATTTTGGCCATTTCTTCTGTGTGAGTTGGTGACTCAGCTCGCTATTTGCAAGGCAAGTGGCAAGATCTTCTGGATACTGGAGTTGGGGACGGGAAATGAAGGCATATTGTGGGCTCTGGAAGCAGATAGGACTGCTGGGGTCTACCTAACCCGGACACTGGACACTGCCAGGCACAGAGTGAATCTTGGTTTTTTTTATCTTCCTGCTGCCCTTACTAGAGAAAAATTCTAAGCAGAACCTACAGTCTGGTGTGTAAACAGAAGTAGTAACATTTGTGCTTTTGAAGGACTCCGATTTATCTTTCACATTTTAGGGTGCGGCCAGCTTATTTAACTTGCAAGGAGCTGATCAGGGTTGAAACTAGGTGGACGCCATCTTAAGGCACTTCTGGCTGGCTCCAGTCTTACTACCACAGCTCTGACAGTCTGGCTTCACATGGACACCCTTCCCTGGCTCATCTTTTGCAATTAGGATGAGTCAGTGCTATCTCCTTAAGCAAGACCTTTGCCTTTCCAGAGTCTGTGAGATAAATGAGTATGTTCCCACTCAGCTCCAGGATTCTCCCGCCCCTGCGGGGATTCAGCTGAGTTGGCTCTGGACTGGTGCTCCCTTCCGGCAGCCAGACTTGTCCCGTGCTTTTCTTGGAGCAGGAATGTGTTCAGTGTGTGCAGGCAATCCTTCTTGCACGAGAACTTTATTTAGACCTGCCTTTACCAGGTCTCGTATTGCCTCCCTGTGTCTAGCCACTGTGAGGGGTTTCTGTGGCTACCACAGTTCCCAGCTGCCAAATAGACGCATTGCAGACGAATCTGAGTTTAGAGCATGGGTGGACACAGCAGGAGAAGCCCTGGCTCAGTAGCTGAGCACCAGATCCTGGTGGTCACAGAAGCCACAAACTCCCAAGCCCTAGAGCTTAATATGACAGGGCTGCTGCCTGCCCCTCCTCACAGGATTTCCTGTTGCGCCAGAATGTGGGTGGTGGTGGGTGTGGAGTCTGGCTGACCCCACGTGATTCGTGAGGTATCCAAGTCCAGTCCTTCTTGACTGTGCTTCTCATGCAGTCAGGTGAAGGTCAGAGATTACCTGCCAGGGACTGAGTGCTTCTGCCTGCTGCTGTTACTTGCCTCACCCCTTTGCTGAGAAACGGAAGGAGGTAAAGTCACTAGTCCAAGGTCACAGAGCTCGTGGGTGCCCGCGGCAGCCTGTACCCAGGCCCCAGGCTTGAGTGCTCCTAGATGTGGCCTGTATCTGGTGCAGCCCGCAGTGGCTAGAAGTTCGTGAATTAATTTTCCTCTTGGGTTTGAAAAACAAATGGTAGAGGATAGGAAAAGCAGAGGAAAGCAAAAATTAAATATGGGGGCCCATGAAACTTGTTAGAAATGTGGAGACAGATGTGGAGGTCAAAGTCAAAGCTGGAGAGCCCCTGGGTGCGACCGGGCGTGGCAGAGCTCTGAGTCAAAGCCCGCCCACCAAGCCTGTCTGTCATTCAGCCACAACTGTTCCATTCTTTGGTGACTGCTTTTGTGTTCCAGCAGCAATGTTGAGGAGTTGGAGCACAGACCACGTGGCCTGTGGCGCCAGTTTTTACTCTTTGGC